TGAAATATTATAATTTAAAATAACTATTTTCTGTTTTAATATGTTTTAAAATGTAATTTATTCCTGTGATGGCAAAGCTGAATTTGTAGCATCATTGCTCCAGTCTTCAGTGTCACATGATCCTTCAGAAATCATTCTAATATGCTGATTTGGTGCTCAAGAAACATATGTCTTTGCAAACTTTCATCACAATATAAATTATTGCTTTGCCTTTAAATGACTTCCCAGTTTGGCTGGCATCACCAATTCATCCCATACAGAGACCACTTTCCAATCCAATCATTTCCCAGTGGCTAAAACCAAGTCCCACCCTACATTTTTATCTTGCTGAATATCCTGTTGGTGGGTTGGTGACATCACTGCATCTTGACTGAAAAAGTTCAAGAGTTACTGATGCTCTGGTTTTATTGATTGAAACATTATGTTTTTATGTGTGTACACTGAATCCTTAGAATCAGTTAATATGACTTCCTTTTAAAAGTGCTAAAGTGTTAATCTTGAACTGTTTAGATCTGCTTACCAATTACTTCTTGTATAAATGTAGCATTCCACCGTAGCTCTGTGAGGAAGTGAGGTGGTCCATGGCCACATAAATGCAGGAGAATCTTCAGGACCTTGGACAGCGTTAAAAGGCACAATAAACACCATGGCACCACTAAAGCCAAAATTTCGAAAACATTTAAAAACACTGAGCTCAATAAAGGAAGTTCATGAATTACCCTTTTCAGGGTTTGAATCTACAACTTTTGGATTCCAACCGAGGCAATCCACCCAATCTCACCTTAAGTTTGACGTGGCAGGACTCCACCTGTAGTCTCTCCAAGAGGTACTCAAGAAGACACTGGCAGCAGCCCACTGACTCATGGGAAATTTCTTAAATATCATGACAGTTAAGGTCCACTGATGACAGAGCGTTCATTATTCTGCCCTATTCTCTTATGTAATGGCAAAAAAGGATACTGCCAATTTCCTCAAAGAGATAGCCGGGACAGGGCGATTCGTCATCTGATGTTGCTCGCATAAGTGTTGGCACCTGAGACACAAAAAAAGAGGTGAGCAAATTTGTCTTCCAAAGAGATTATATATATAGTATTATATTACATGCTGTTATTATCTGAATCCACTGACAAAGTCAGTACCAAGACACAATGATAGTAATACCATGGTATGTTTATATATTATTGCACAGAATGTAACATGGTATAGTACTGGTATTACCAGTACTGGTAAAATAGTACTGGTATTACAAATAGACCATAGGTACTCATGTTATGGTACATGTCAAAAAGACCATGGTAATACCATGGTATATTTTCAAAACACCAAGACAGTACCATGGTAACTGTGGTTGTCTTTTTCCACTGTCTGTAAACATAAATATCAATCATATGCAGAGATAAACTGTCCATTTATATATTTAACCACTGCTAACGCCAGATTCCACGGATACGTACTTTTTGTAGGAAAACCAACCGTTCCAATAATGAAGCCATGGTGAAGAAATCTGTGTTTTATCGCCTGTCTATGTACCATTGCTCACAAGGCGGGTGACAGAGCAGGTCCTGTCTGCCCAAGAATGTCTTCACAACCCACACGGACCTCTGTTTAGCTCGCCCACTCCGGTTTGACGTAGGCGACGTCCGCTTTGTGAGTCGCATCTTTTCAGTGAAACAGTTGAACCGATTCCTCCAGGAGTTACTTCTTTGGAATGAGCGGTTTAAAAGAATCGATTCGCGGAAATAAATGAAAGATGTCGTAGCCAATAGAACGTGGTACTAAAGAACACGTGATCGACTGCGGAAGTTAATATGGAGTGGATTTCTCGAAATCCCGAATGTCTTTGAAATCAACTCCAGTTACTACAGGCTCTCCACCATAAGTAGGAAACTACACCAGAAAAAAAACAAAACAACCAATCATAAAGTAGTGCATATGTTTCTGCTTCCAGATTAACGCACTGATTGGCCAGTTACTCGTCAATGGGAGGTTTACACGCGTTATCTCAGTCAGAGGTCACAAGCATGGCGCTGTCCGTGTTGAATATACACACTACATCTATGAGCCGTTACAGTGGTTTTTAAATAAATGAACGTAGGATTATTAACAGATTGCCGCTAAATAAAAGGATTATTGTAGTATATTTTGAAGTTTTTTTTTTAACTATGTCTAGTTCAAATGTTTGGACTCGCAGCAGAGCGAGAATGAGACTCATCCCAGAGCTGTTGGCTCAGTGTTCAGGAGAGGTACACGGTCAACCAGTATTCCTTCCTCAGTATTGTTTTATATATATATATATATATATATATATATGATGCATTATATTATGCATTTATCCTTTTGTTGTTGTTTGTACATCGGTCTGTTTTTCTATTATTATATTATTAGGCAGCTGCTTATGGAAAATGTGTCGCCTCCACAAACACTGGCAAACAGGAGCTGACCAAAAACGTGTGTCAAAGAATTTGAAGTACTGAAAAGCTGCTTTCAATCAGCTGTGAGTGTTTTTCGCGATTATTTTATTAAATATTTCTTAAGAAGTATCCTATTTACACAAACATTAGAGACATGGCAAATCACTTTTTTTTTTTTACTATATAAATAATTGTATAGTTTAATTATTAATAAATTACACATTTAATATTAATGTTTATAAATATCTTTTGCAGAGACATTTAACTAATTGTTTTATATTTGCAGGCAAAAAAGGGAGTAAAGTGAAGACTATAATGAATAAATATCATGCTAACCTTGACAGTGTTGGAAATCATTATAATTATCCAGTGAAACATTTCTGGGGATAAATATCTTTTATGTCTTTTTTTTAAATTTTTAAATAGTATCTTTTGTCATTTCTATCTCTCTGTAAATATACATAAATATACAATAATGTGTTTCAAATGGATAATTGTTTTGTGCAGAAAACCACAATGAAATATCTTTTTAATAAAAAGTCAAATCATAATTCTATCCTTTGTTCAGATATAACATTATAATATATAGAGGCAGTTTGGACTGAATTATATCACCATCTGCTTCATTACTTTGCTGTTGCTACATATCAATATATCAGAATTGGGATAAAAGAGACAGACTAATGATAACCAGGCATTCTCTGTTGTTTGGAGTGTGTAATTGATGAGGGAGCGGCAAAATGAGAAATGAGATATGAGGTGTTACGTGATGGGTGGTCATTATCACGGCCTTGAATGGCGATTGCAGATCAGCGCTTGAGTCAGTCTCCAAATTTGGACTCGCTCCTGAAATCTAGGATGGCGGTTTTAGGGGTTTTGTTTCCAATCAAACAAAAGCGGGCTGAAACATGAAAGGCCAGCTGATTAATGTGTATCCGTGGGGTGTATGTCACTGGCACCACAAAAGATTATGGGCTCTTAGTCATCTCGTATGGAATGTAAAGCCGTGCCACTGTTAAATACACCCTTCATGCACAACCTGCACCCTCATTAGCCACATGTTAATTGATAGAAGGGCCATAAAGGCAGCCACTAATGAGTGGGGATCAACAAACTATTCAACCAGCCAATTAGAGGAACGAAGAACAGTTGTATAAAAATTTCCAGCAAAGCAATAACTTGTATTTTTATAAGAAAAGACATGCTACAGGTTATGCTTCAGCTTAGTCACAATCATTGTTTGTGGCCTTCCTTCATATGGGCTTCATTCACACTTTTTCAGTGCACTACAAGGTGTTAATTGAAAAAGAATGGTCTTGTGAAAACGGTTGTGTTTGGTCCAAATTGGCTATAAAATCTAATGGTTTAGGGGAACTTGTCTTGACATTAAAAAGGTTTATGCAGACGATCAGTTCTGTGCACAATGAGCATTACATTAGCAAACAGTGCCTCAATGTCTTTATTATACCAGTACAATAGATGGCAGGCCAACCAGTGATTTTTAAATGTTTTAAACATTTCTATTACCTGTATAGTTATCTTACATGTTGTGTTTATGACTTAATATTAATTCAGAGACTAAATAGGATATTTGTACTTTCAAAAATTAGTCATAGTTCAGGATTATTTAAGTGAACTGAAAAAAAGCTTGAAATGTTTCTAAAAAAGGTGAAAACTTAAAAAAACATTTCTCACCATTTATATATCACTATAATTTTTAGCCTATATTATTTCATATTTCACAAAGAGCTGCTGTTACAATTTATTCATGTATCCCAATTAAAGAACAAAATAAAATGGTTAGGGTCAAAGAGTCATCAACCTCTGAAATCTGCTAACATGTAACTCAAGGTTTTTTTTTTTTTTTAAGAGATCTACACATCTGGTAACTAAACACCTGTATATGGATGAGTGAGCAGTGTTAATGACAAGACAGACAGACAGCATTCCATGAAACTCATATGACCATATCTCTATATATTTATGTCTGAAATAGGAAAAAGATCCCCAAAAGCGAGATCAGGAAATTCATCAAGAGAATACAGTCACTGACAAGTTTAACCAGCAAGGTATAGAAACTGCAGATAGGGGACAAAAAGTTGAAATCCACACACAGTGTGGGTGTAACAGACTTCACATACACATCACTGCAGAACAGAAACCCCATAAGGCACTGACCAGAATCATATCTTCATAGGCAAAAATATATAATGTTCAAGAGAAAAGCAATGCAACCCTAAAAAAAGAAACCCACTGCACAGTGAAAACAAGGAACTGACTTTGGGAAATAGTCATGTTATGTTCAACACTAAATCTGGAATACATGTAAGGTCCAATTTCAGATCAACCACAAAAGATGAGTTGAGTACTTTAACAACGTGATAAAATAGAGTCACAGACAATTTAAACACACTGAAACAACCAAAAGAAAAAAAATCAAAACAAATTATTCAAATATTTAATTCACTTATAGCTGGTCTGACTAACTACTAGTTATAAGTTAACTATATGGAAGGAAAATCTGATCCTGAAGACACGCACACGCACACACACACAAACACACACACTCCTTCGAAAGACAAACTACAATTGCAAAAGAAAAAAAATTAATAAAGGACTTTGGACAAATAAGAAAGAAAATATGATTTCATCAGGCTTTTTCTGAAAACCATTAAAGAAGTCTCAGCCTGGATTCCCAAGACTTTTCAATAGCACTTAGTATTCCACCAGTACACTGAAAAAAACAACAAAGATATCTTACCGTAGAGTGACCGTAGTTTCAGATAAGAACATGTCACTATTCTAGCAACCAGACGGACCATTGAACATGTTGGCCAAGGTAACATTAACACTCCATTTTCATTATACAGGATAGAAGACTGAAAACACTACGGTGCAGTAAATGGTCCAATAGTTCCTAGAGAAGAAAATAAAGCTCCTAGAAGAAGATAAAAGCTGCATTTTTTAAAACTGCATCTCATATTAATTTGGCTTCTATTTTCATTCACAGAAGATAAAACTTCAATAAGGAAGTATGCAATAGTGACATTATATTTTAGAACTTGCCATACAATTTACCATAGCAGCCACAACGGGGTACACTTGTGCCGTTTTCCTATGCGACGGTCCAAAACACAATATTCTGAAATGCCCCGTGTGCCCATCAAGGTCCGTTTTTAATGTGATGCCTGCTCAGTTTATTACACCAGACATTCCTTTTATTGCACCAGATTCAGCAAAATCTCACACAAAACAATAATGGAAGCTCATAAGGGACTATGGATTCAGTGTTCCTGGCGGACAACTAAAGGATCAAATCAAAGTGCCCACTGTCATCATGAACCCAAAAGGAATGTTAGAAGTCTTAGATAAAGGCATCAACTTTTCAAATGAGGAGTAAAGAGATTTGTCTCACTGCCAAATCACGTAAGTTTTTGAGTGAGCATTTCTGCACATCCATTTGAGAGGTTCACTGGGTTCCAGAGGTTGTAATTCTGGAACAACCTACTCTAGTCTTCACTCTCCTGCCTCTGAAACGTCTGTTTAAGCTGGCGTGTGTGAACCAGAGATCCCGCCAGGAGCTGCCCCTTTAGGTCAGCGTGTAAGTCTAAACCTCCTATGTCCCGCAGAAGATCCAGGTCAGCGTCTCCTCCGCCCTCAGGGTCCACAGCTCTGCGTCTCCTCTTAAGGTCCAACCCTCCATCCTCTCTGCTCCTCTTTTCCTCTTTCTTCTCCTCTTCTGGTGGAATTATATTCTCCTTCAAGTCCCTGCCTCCTTTTTGCTTAGGCATTTGCAGGACTTCTGCTTTGGGTGCATTATCATCCTTCTTTGCATCAATGACCTGCTGTAGTTTTTCTAGTTGTTCTTTCTGCTTGAGTATCCTTTTCTCTTTCTCTGCACGCTCCATGATCTCTTTATCAGTCTTCTCTTGTTCCCGTTTCAAACTCTCATCCTCGAGACTTCCCTTGCCCTGCTGCACATGTCGCGCATCGATGACCTGCTGCAGCTGGTCTAGCCGCTCCTTCTGCTCCAACAATCTTTTCTCTTTCTCGGCACGCTCCATGATCTCTTTATCCATCTTCTCTCTTTCAAGTTTCGATCTTTCCGCTTCAAGCCTTTCCTTCTCTAGCTGTTCCTTTTGCTGCCGCACACGTTCTAGCTCCAGCTCACGTGCCAGTTCCTCTCGTCTTTCTCGTTCCTTCCGCTCCTTCTCGACACGGGCCTGCACCTCCTTCTCAATCCTTTCCTTCTCCAACTTTTCTTTCTCTATTCTCTCCTTCTCTGCCTCCAGTTGGGCCAATTTCTGCCTCACTCTCTCCTCCTCTTCTGCAAGAGCGTCAGGATTGATTTTGGGCAGTTCTGGTTCTCGAGGACGCAGAGGAACACCTCGGGCACCGACCTCTGGAGGTAGTGCTCCATCGTGCCCTACTTCGTTTTTCAGCTCCAGCTCCTCCTCCTTGGGAACTTTAACACCTGCATCTTGCACCAATTCAAGGGCATTGTCGGGAAGACCAACTGCGACGTGAGCCTCTTTTGCTTCTGGGTCTTCAGGCCCTGCGACAGCTGCAGCTACGTTCTCCACCTCACCTACACCCTCTCCTACAAAAGACATGATGTATTTTATTACTGCACTGCATGCAAGATCACTTCAGCAGGAAGCACCAACACTGGTAACACTAAAGGTTAATTGAATCATTCTCTTTTTATTTTTCACCACATGACCAGAAAAACGTTCATCTTTTACGTCTAGACAAGTTGTCTACTGTTTGCTGACTTTCAGACTCACTTGCTGCTGCCTTTGGCTCAGCTTCTCCTTCTTTCACTTGATGGACCTCCTCATTCACATCTAACTGTTTTTCCTCATGGTCCACATGTATTTTCTGCTGTTCTAGTGCCTTTGGTTCTTCTTCTCCCTCCTTAATTTGGTGGATCTCCTTGTGTTGCTCCTCAATTACAGCCAGGAGTTTTTCCTGTTGGTCCAGAAGCCTTTTCTGCTGTTCCTGCTGCTCCTTAATTACCTGGAGCAGCACAGCATGGTCCAACTGACCCTCTGAGGATCAGCCAAGCAGAAAGGAAAAAGAGAAGTTACAATGAATATATTGTAGGATGCATATGAGAGTGTAATTAACTGTGGTCAAACATACTTGTCAGTCTGAAGAAAATGTTAGTGGTGCCTGCCCATACAAAACCTACAACCATGATGTTGTAGTTGGCCTGTTAACTTTCCCACTATTTGTTAAGCTATGTTCAGAACTGTTCTGAGTTCCTAGATTTAACACTGGTAAGTATTTTAGGTGGTTTCTAGGATGTTTCTATGCGGTTAGTAGGGCATCGCTAGGTGTTTGCTAGGAGATTGCTATGTTGTTCCCAGTAATTTGTAACGCATTGCTCAGCAGTTGCTAGATGGTTGCTGGAGTGTTTCTATGCAGTTAGTAGGGAATTGCTATGTGGTTGCTAGTAAATATGATACCCTAACAACATCAATATGGAATTCTACCAAAGAAATCACTTTCATCATCAAACAAGAGAAAGACTAGAGATCCCAATTAATATGAGATGGCTGTTCAGTTATGTTTCCAGAGCTATTATACAGTACACAACTAGAATAATGGTCAATGTATCAACACAGGTAACAGACTATTGGTTATTAACAGCTATAAGGGTTGAAGCGTGAGAGAGAATGACTGGTAAAAATAACAGCAAAAAAGACAAGAGTAGAGTGAGAACAGCAGACATAAGACACATCATCTCGTACCTGCAACAATCTTTTTAATCACTGTAGGAGGCAGGAGTCCGTGGCACAACAGAATGGCGGAGGAAGATAAGAAATCGAGAAACAAAAGAGAAAAAGACAGTACAAAGAGGGCAAAGTGCCTTAATCAAAAACAAGCCACGCGAAAGAGACAAGAGATTTCAGATTTGGTGCATTTTTGCAGTATATCTGAGTGCAGCAATGCAATGTGACATTTCAGATGTTGGCCAATTTGCTGAGAGAAAGTAAAACGAGCATCTGGGGGAAAAAATGGCAAGTTATACAGTGCAAAATACACTTTTGACTTTGTACTAAAAGTTTTTTAAAAAGTATAGGATATGTATTATCATTACAAAACAGACCTGTCCTTGATGCTAATTGGTCAATACTGTGTTCTAGTCATGCTAAAATTAAAAATATAATACAAGTTTATGACAGCACATTGGTTCATAAAGCTACTGTCTAGTCGCCAGCTAATAAACTTAGCACTAGGTAGGTTTTACATATAAGTGACTATATTTTCTAGTGTAAGAATTGAATTGCATTGCTTGATTACCCATTACCAGTGTTGTTATGGTTAACTAAAACTATTAAAAATTATTTCCAGCAATTGAAATAAAGTTATATAATATTAATATTACATTAAAAAAAAGTAATTAAAATTAGCAATGTTGTCTTGGCAATTAATTAATGTTTAAGATGATTTAAAACTGCAACGAAAATAACGCTGAATAGAAAAGTTTAACAAACTAAAATTTAAATGAAAACTGGAAATATAAAAATAAAGCCAGTTCAAAACGGTCAAGCCAGGAGTGCTGAAGTAGAACAGAACCAGGCCAAGAGAAGCAAAGATCGCACCAGTGAGCTCAAACATCTGACTGAATGACTGAACAGAAAACGCTATTTTTCAAACCACCAACCTTTATACAGTCTATATTTCAATCCACATTTCCTATAGATTCTGGACAATGTTCTGTCAATGTTCTGATGGATAAAGCACTCACCTTCCATCTTGTCCCCATCTCCATCCTTGTCCACCCCTTCATCCTTTTCATCTGGAACCTTCTGTTCCTTGTGCTCCTGCACAAGAAACTTCTCCTTCACTGCAGAAAGCAGTCATTGAATTAACAAATTATTACAGAGTGGAAAAGGTGTGCCATGTCATTTCAAGAGAATATGAATAAAAACAAAAGGTCAAAGACGATGTTTACAAGCTACTTAGAGTTTATCAGTCATGTACGATAAACAGAAACTAGATGTTTACATTTTCTTAAGATCTGAGTGGTTGCCAGAGCGTTGCTAAGCAGATGCTTATGTGTTCACTCACATTTCTCACCCTGGGGTTCAGGGGCTTTGTCCATCTCCTCTGGCTTCTTCTCTCTGGGCGCTTCATTCTCATCATGCTGTTTCTTCACTTCAGGCAGGTTTTCTGGTTCTTTATGGCCCAAGAAGGGCTCAACCTTCTTCAGATCCTCTGGATTTTTTGCCTTATCCAACACTTCATTAACTGCAAGCTGGTCCTGATCGACAGCCCTTTTCACTGCAGCTTCTTTTTCTTTTAACTCCTCCTCTTTTACAGCTTCCACCTCTTGTGCTTGCCCCGCCCCCTGCTCAGCAAGAAGCTCCTCCTCCTCGCCAGCAGGCAGTTTCTTTTCTTCCTCCACAACTATAGGTTGTTTATTTTCGTCCTCCAGTTCCTCCTGGTTTTTGATCTCATCTATCTGAACTCTGTCATGAGGGTTGGGCGGCTCATGGCGATGGGCTTCCCCTTCTGGGACTGCAACACCTGTAGAAGAGAAGCCTGATCTCTGTTACTGCTCACATGCTCTCATACGTCACAAAACCGTCCAAATTACACAGCTAAATTAACGCATCACCTGCTTCAGGGCGGACCAGCTGAACCTTTTCATCCTTATTGTTTTGCTCAGCCACTTCCACAGGTACTTTAATCTGAGGGGGCTCTGCTGCTGCCTTCTCTGCTGGCTGTTCAACCTCAATTGGTGGCCTATCTGGCTTCTCTCCTGGATCAGGTTCCAGTCTATTCTCTTGCACTAGAAACACACAGATTAGACTTGTCAGTCACAATATACAAAAATAAATAAATAAATAAATAAAATAATAATGTCAAGTTTCTGTGCGGGGTGAAAAAAATTTCAAATTTATCCCACACCTATGGTTCTCAACCCATGGCTCTCAGGCTTCATGTAGCTCTTAATGGCAGTTTCAAAAGTTTCATTTTTTGTTCTTTAATTAGTTTTTGCCTGAGGTTTGTCAGATGTAATTTGCAGTGTAACTCAAGTTACTTTGATGAAGACCCTACTTTGGGTACAAACAAACCAGAATCAACACTGCACAGGTCTTCATTATGGCAGTGTAAAGATAAAATTTAAAATAAACATGAAACGGCATATACAAGCTATTTTAGTTTTATAATCTGATATCTTTGAGAGAAACAAGAAAAAAATGGAAGGCAGAACTTGATTTTTTTTTTCCATCAGAAAATGACTGGACTGTTAAAAGTAAGCATTTCATAACATAAAGGATCACCGCAGCTAGTTGGGTGGTGTCTCTAAACTACCAGTTCAAAGTTTGGACACACCTTTCTCCTTTTTTAACATTTTAGAATAATAGAAAATGTGATATTTGGCTGCATTTTTTAATTTTTGCTATACAGTCCAACTTGTCAATTTTAATAGTTAGCTATAGTATATATAAATACATATCTTTATATATAAATATTAGCTATAGTTGGCAGTACTATTAACACAGGTCAAGAAAGAATTAGGCTATCGAGAATGAAATTACCTACTTGATTAAGTATTTTAAGTATTTAAAATAAAAATACTGTCTCTGAACATATTTAATTACAAATTACATTTAATTTTTTTTTTGTCCAGCAAAATACAAATTACAAAATACTAACGTAATTAAATACGTATTTTAAATACATTTAATTGAAATACTGCTCATCTCTGATTTCAATCCAAGCCATGTGTGCACGTCTTTTCTGCTGCAGCGCAGTCCTAAAAATCCCATTGAGAGTGTCCCACAAACACCAGTAGAGGGCAGCAGAGTATGAAAGACCAACAGGATACGCGTTGCACCGTAGAAGAGATTTCTAATAAGGCTATTGATGGATGCTCAGTACTTTCCATATAACCTTGCCACTCGTCCTGTGCAAAACAGCCTTTGAATATTTGCAATGTCCACACCTTCCTTTAACCTGAGCCTGTAGTGTACTACCATAACAGATAATCTACAGCACGACATATGCAGAAAGGAGTTACACATTGCAAATTAGAAAGGATAGCAGTTTTGATAAACAGTATCTATGAGAGCAAGAAAGAAACAGGGGGTTTAAAAGAAAGAAGGAGTGTACAGTAAAGGGGGTTGGGTGCACTTCCCTACAATCCTGAAAAGCAAAGCGTGCATGTGCGTACTCGTATACCTCTACATGCCCGCGGGCCCCATGTTCCACTCACTTGCTCACAGAGCCCTACGTTTTCACACAGCTGCCCTCACCAGCAAGCCGTAAACAGGAAACAGGTGTGGAAGTGGGTGTCCGCTCAATGATAAATGCCAGTGTCAGTCAGCAGGAGGGAGTGAGAAGGAGAGGAAGGAGGAGCGTCAGAACAGAAAAGGAGAGGTAATGGTGGATAAAGTTGTTTGGACGCTCCTGCTATCTGCATTTTTTATGAGCCTCTGTCCTGTATCGGCGCATGTTGGATCTCCCCTCCCATGAACGGAGCCATAACGGGAAAATGCCACCGGATGTTTCACTGCTGCTCTGGGACAGCGAGTGCTCAGGTTTGAAGGGCGTCATTCAGGTCACTGATTCAAAGAGAGGCCTGCTACTGGAGCTCATCATTTGTGCTCCTTCACTGTTCTTTCTCATTTTCTCATTCATTTCACCTTGTCCCTTTCAGAACTTCCTTTTCCATTCTGTGTCATGTCAACTGATAACTTTCTCTTCATAAATATAAAGCATAGACGTACCTTGTACTTCAGGCATCTCAGGGGCAATGAGGATGGGAGGCTTGTTCTGAGTTTTTGCAGGGACATCCAGAGGGGGGTTTAATTTCTGTGGCTCGTTGGAGGAAATGGACAGCGTGGTGAAGGTACTGATGAGCAGGATGCCGAGACCAACCCACAGAACCAGCTTTAAAAAAGAAATGAAGGGAGAAATTAAAAGAGAAAAGAAAGTTAGTGTATATGGTCCTCTAACCAAAAAAACTTCAAAGTGGTGTAACTCCGTAGATTATAATGAACAAAAACAAAAGTCTCATGCGCATGAGAAAAAAATGCTGGAAATTATCACAATGTCAGCAAGTTAAATATATAAATATCTGTTAAATATTACATATATAAACAGATAATTTTACGTTTTTATGACGTTTATTAAAACTAGAGGTGGTAATTGTTTGAAATCACACATTTAAATTCTTGGGGTCAGAACTGTCCATATTAAATCCAATTTCTATTTTACTGTGATAAACAGTTTAATATGTTTTGAAGAAAGAAAAAAAACACTAAATCAAATGTAAACCATGAAATTTATGTTCTTTTTCTTCCCAGTTTACTCAACTCAATATTATGACATAAATGCCATTCAAGCTGACTGTAAGCCCCGAGACAAACGGTAAAACTACTCGGAACAAAAAAAAAAAAAACTGTCCTACTACTAAAATAAAGTTTAAGCTGGTAAATAAAATATAAGTAATAAAAATGATAAAAAATATATTTTTAAATACATTAAAAAAATTTAAAAAGAAGAAAAACGCTTGCCCTAACTGAAAATGGGGAAGGATGTATATGTTTTTCCTCCTCCTTTGCTCACAGATACTCCACTGCTCATGCAGTGAAGTGTGCGCTCTCTAAACTGCCCCAGTGTTACACTACTCTCACAGTTGACTTTCACCTTTTTGTTTGAAAAACAAATCTGTGATTTGATTCAAATCAATAAACGATAGAATCAATTTCCCCCACCCCCTCATAGAACTGTTTAAATTCCCATAGAATCAGTGCACATTTCATTTTAGTAAAATTTAATTTTAGTTTAAAATTCAATATACAAAGCTGGCAAGGGTGTCGCTGGCATCAAATCTACAATAATGTCCTACAGTCACATTAATGGTGCCCCAAACGCTGATGAAATCTATTAAAGTATGCCCCTCCCAGTTCCTCTGCCCCTGATCTGAGGTTATTCTTTGTGCAGTGGTGGACCTGGACATGTCAGGCTGCTTGGCATGAGACATGGCAGAGTGGCATCATCCGCTCATGCCAACACAAACATCTGTTGTGCTCATAATGACAAGAAGCTCTTTTGAAATGGTCCTTGCCCCAATATCAGGAACGCCACCCATTTGGGTGAACTCCAGTGTTTGGGAAGTAACCCTGTGGGCAGAGACTCATAGGCATGGAAGTGTGGCATAGTTGGCACTAAAGAACAATGAACATCAGTATGTTGGCTGCTCGCAAACCACACAACATAAAAGTGATGAGGATGACATCAGCATTGTGGTTACACATCACCTAAGATGAGACCTCAGTTGCTTTCACTCTGTTGTGAAAGAGTAAAGGCATCTGTAATTTGGGCAGGAGACGGAGGGGGCACAGCCCGAGGCACAGTGCCAGCACACACACTGTGGGAATGATTCCACACAGCAAGTCAATGCACTCGCAGGATATCAAAATTAATGACAAACTCCATTACAAAGAGAGAGGATCAGCTGCCTTTTCTCCCTGACAGACAATTCCAGTGCATTCTTCTTCTTTCAGATCACATCAGAAACAGACAAAATTTATGCATTCTCTTTAGATTCTTTGCCCTTTTTGTTTCAAAGAACTACACTTCCATTCAAAACTTTGGGGTCAGTAAGATTTGTTTCTGACAAAGTCTCTTACCAAGGCTGCATTTATTTGAAAAAATTTTTTTTTTTAAATAAATAAATAAATAAAATATTGTGAAATATTATTACAATGTATGTATGTAGGTGAGTAAAACAACGACCGTCAGCGAGGTGTGCTGTACCTGTGCAGTCCAGGCATTCTTCAAGATCTTCTTGTAGATGAGAGCTGGGCAGATGAAGCAGATCAGACTGCCCATGGTGGCTCCAGTCAGACCCAGGATGGTCTCCACTATGGCACACACACAAACATATTTATTTGCTATGGTACAAAACCAAAACAAAGGTAAGGCTAATGAACTATATTACTTGGAAGAATAGACTGGTGTCAGAATTATGCAATTGAGAATTATAATCATTCACTGCCAATTAATGCTAGCAAATTTCTACTTGCAATCATTGGTCATAATACTCTCTCTAAACTTAAAAGTTCCAAATGACTTGTAAAATGTCTGGTGATGTAATTAAGCAAAAACAAATAACCTCTTCCTTGTTATTGAATACATGTGAGTGTAAATGTTAATCATTTTATCCAAATAAAGTTTGAAGAATATTTTTCAAGATAAAAAGTAGTTTTTAAAAACTAAATAAAATAAAAAAACTGAGGTCTGATTTTTAAAAATGTTTTTGAAAAAAAGTATTTAATGCTCACGTAGGCAGCATTTATTTGATCATACAGTAAAACTGTAATCTTGTGAGATGTTTTTACAATTTAATTCTTAATATATTTTAAAATGTAATTTATTCTTGATAAATTACATGGCAAAGCTGAATTTCTAGCAGCCATTACCCCAGTCTTCAGTGTCACATGATCCTTCAGAAATCATTCTGATATGCTGATTTGGTGCTCAAGAAACATTTCCTATTAAACCCAAGCCTGAGCTAACTTGATAACATGAACAGGTAATATTATCTGATTTGTTTTTACTAGGCCTATATTTAAACTTACCTTGACACTCTGTAAGTCATATAACACCATTTTAACAGTTTTAAAAATCACTGTAACACTGCAGCCTTAGGTGGCTATTTGCTCTAAGATATAAACCAAAATAAAACAGTAAGTAAGTGTGCAAATCTATTCCAACCTGCACTATATTCAGACCCAGCATGAGGAGGCAGTTTAAACCGGAAAAAAATGGCACAGGCAATCTACACCATCTCATCTCCTGAATCACCACATTCATCCTCCATCAGTCTTTCTCCCCAGACCGCTCCATCACACGCTCCCCCCTCATCCTTCTATCTGCCTCCTACCATCCTTCCTCCACGCTGCATTTGTGTTGCAAGGCTGGGCAGTGGGCCCAGGGGGTGTTTTTCATCCTGAGAGCAGCCATATTGTTTTACTCAAATTTATGCCCTGCAGTGTCTGCTTCCCTATGGTTGGATTTGTGGCCGTGAGGACACGCCGGTGGCCAGCGGAGCCATCATGGAGGACAGAGCTACGCCTTTACCCCATTCAATCGTCTCTGCGAGTCTCACCTTCCCTTCTCTATTAGTCTAATTGGGCCCACTGAGCCAAATGGAGCCCAAGCCAGCGACAGCCAATCTCCATGAAGAATGAATAAAACATGGCCCACCCCACCATTGCCTAAAACACACCTTTATTATCCTGTTCCACTGATAATGAATGGACAGTATAGAGAGGAAGGATAAGGAGTGATTGACGGAGAGATATTTTAAAAGGGGAGATTAAGTGGGGTATGACGTCATAGGGGTATTAGGGAGAGTAAAACATATGCGGGCACACAAACAGACTTACCATTAGGAATGAGGATGCCGCCCAACATGGTGCCAAAAACGATGCAAAGAGTGATGCTTTTGAAGCGAAGGGGTGGCATATACCCACCTGCAGCGAAGGTGCCATCCTTTTGCTGAAAAACAGAGACAAACAGAGTACTTTCACAAACCTGTTACTAGATTCCAGGCACACATGTTGCTCTCCAAGCCTCTGTTATAGCTGAACAAGTGAAATGCATGTAAGGATATTGGGTTTGACATGTAAGCTTCATAAACCCCCTCCGCTCTGTTGTCAAAATGCCAGATTTAACGACAGCATAAAACCCTTCGCCCGACCGCGAATCTAGCCGTGATTTGAGCTGATTCAGCGTGGCAGCGGTGGTGAGACAGCGAGCCAATGTCTTGGCTGGTTTATGGAGGAGATTTGGACCTTTTGTCATCAATCCAGCCCTTTTTATTTCCTCCTGAATCTCTCAGTGCCCCAGCAGTCTGCTGGCCGTGGAGGCTGGATCACGGGTGTCTGAGCGGTGGAAGGAGACTTTGGAACTCAAGGGATCTATACTGAGGGACAGAGCAGGCAAATGCATGCTGACTGAGACCAGACTTGGGGTCTGACATCAGCCCTGTGTAAATATGTTAGGCTCAATGAAGTCTTTATTGAGTCCATTAAATTTAGCAAAATACTTCTGCAGCTGGTGCAGTTTATGTGCATCAGGAAGAAGGAGACACCTGAGTTTGTCCAGACAATGTCCAGATGGTGCCAAGTAAATGATTTTAAACATGGGCCAAGAATTATGGGATGTTTAAAAAATGGGTATATTTTGTGGGTTAAATTGGTGGACAAACGGGGATGTGTACAACCAGTTCCAACCAGTCACAATACACATCACAGGGACTTTTGACAGTCTCAATTCTACTTCATTATAGGTAAATCCTTGTCTACAGTGTTCAGGATCTCAAACGTAAATGGTAAATGCAGTTTAGTGAGAAAAATGGTGTAGAAAAATGTAAAAATATAAAAATAATTGTTACAATATAATATAATATTTGACATGTTTATAATATTATATATTACAGTATAAATAGATTTTTATATACGAACATATATTGCTATCTATACATTTTAGGAAGGGGCTCGTCTCAAGGGAAACTTGTATAATCAAACTAGCATATTTGGGGGTCCATGGCATAAAAAGTTTAAAAACCTCTGTCTTTGTAAAACTGTTACCTGCTGCTCGAATAGCATGGTGTTGATAGCCTGTCTGCAGGGCAGGATCATCATGGGAAAGCCCACAGCCACAGACATCATGAAGCCCACACGGATCATTTCCGTTACCAGGTTTGATGGAAAGTTCATCAGTACGTTCCCGGCAATGTTATCTGTGAAGCTCACATAACCGAAGAACCCCACCTGGAGGAATACAGTACAAAGCATAGTTAAGCGTTTGAGTCTTATGAAGGACAAATCTGCATAATACTCAAGACAAAATCAAACAGCATTCATTTTCAATTAATACCTAAATATCAGATAAGAAATAATGTAAGGCAAGACTTGGTTTTATTCAACAGGATTTTATTGGATCATGAAGTTATGTTATAGTATTGCTTTATTATTTTCTGAGCACAAATGTTGTTTTAAGAAATTTTTATATAAAATTTAAAATCATCAAAACATTTTTTGCATTTCAGCACAGTCCCTGTTTAAAGATATTCAATGCAGTTTTTTGATTCAAAAAGTTGGATCACAACTCAGATCTAAAGTAATGTTTGTTTGGATGCAAACAAGGGAAAAAAATCTTCTACATTGACTTTCCACTTCAGTATGTGGTACGTCTGAGCAAGCAAATATAATTTCATACAGGGTCACTTGATCCAGTTTGAAACGATCAGGACTAATACTACTTAGGGCTGTCAAAAAAAAAAATCGAATTTCGAATATTCGTCGAATTTAAAATAAAAATCCACAATCGAATGCAAAAATGTTGCATTTGAATTTTAGTTGTGCATTAAGTAGGCAGCCTTATCAGTGGCGCACGAGATGAGATGACGATGTAAGTGTCATTCCATTTTATGTTTTTGTTAGCCTATCCAGTTGAAGCCACTAGATGCGGCGCTGCTGCGTTGTTAATTACAAATATTGCAGGAAAAGAGAACATCAATGCGGAGAAGATCTTGTTTACGTCAAAACTGAAACTAAGCCGTTCACACAGAACGCATATTTCACGCATTTTCTAGAGGGATATCTATCACCGTTGCACTCGCATCTCACACAAAAGAGCCGCATGTTTAGAAAGTCATGTAAACTTAATGCAAGTACAACTTTGAAAAAACATATCTCGAGACTTTATGGCGGGTTTTTTCCCCATCCCACTGCAACTCGTGTTTTTAAATGAAAAATGTACTCTGTGTGATTGGCTTTCGGCCCTTTGTATTAAACTATGCATACATACATGATGCTGTTTTGTTTATAGTTGTTTAAGCAACTTAATTATAATTGGTTTATAAACATTATGCACTTTTTTTCACAGATAGTCATGTCATCTTATGCTTTGAATAAACGTGCATTAGTAATATTTTGCTCGATGCGCCCTCTTGTGGCCTCAGGAGAGAAGCTAAAAGCTTTTCTTCACCCTAACTGAAATTATGCATTTTAAATTCGAATATAATTCGAATTTTGGTAATAATTAAGTAAAAAATGTTGAATTTAGTTTCAGCCATTTTGACAGCCCTAATACTACTTATGGCATTGTACAGAAGCAGCCCAACAGAAATCCATGTCTCTTTCCTTGTCTCTTTGATGACCTCTCAACACCTCCTGACTGTGCAATGATATTGTTTTTATGTGATGAAAAATAGCAAGCTGCTTTTCAAAGGTCTTTAAAGTCTGTCGGCCCCCTGAAGGCCCTCTCTACTGGTTCCCTTCAGTAGCAACACCAGGCAGAAGTCCTTGAGCCCGCCACAAATCTCCCTCTCTATTCTATTCTACAAATCCTCCCCTGATTCAATTCAGCTTTTGTTCAAAGAGAAAAAAGCAAAAAGATGATGAAATATAAAAGTAGAATACAAAGAACACTCCCAAAAAAAAAAATCACTAGCAATATTATCTCTCAAGGTAACGTTTATACTCCAGCTTTCAGAGAAGAGAATGGGGAGCAGAAACATTCTGACGATGTCTTAAATCACATTCCACACAAAGTGGCCCTGAAAATATTTATGAAGGAATAAAAGAGAAACAGCATTTGATGTTGATGGAGCGTGTCGGTGCACGTGGGTCACAGAAAAACATGCCAGTCACTCTGACCCCATCGTCTGAGTTCTCTCTGTTCCTCTGAGCTCTGAAAGAGAACCGGGAGGACATTCCAGGGTATCAGTGTGCACCCACCACCCACAACAGGGGAAGGGCAATCACCTGTGGGGCCGGATATGGATCTAAGAGTAAGAACGTGAGCAGACAACAACTCTACCATCCTTGAATCCTCATTTCTTTACCGTGTATGCGGCACATGCTCCCAGGAGTCAATAAGGACAGAGCAGCTACAAGTGTTATACGTTTTTCTACTCACTACAGTTTGTATATATATATATATATATTAAAAAATTACACTATGGATAAAATGTTTGGGGTCAGTTTTGAAAAAATCTCTTATGCTCACTAAGGCTGCATTTGTTTGATCATAAATACAGTAAACCAGTAATGTATTAGTATTAGTGAAGTATTATTACAATTTGAAATTACTTTTATTTTAATAAATTTTAAAATGTAATTTATTCCTGTGATGGCACCGGTCTTCAGTGTCACTATGATCCTCAGACAAATCATTCTAATATGCTGATTTGGTGCTCAAGAAACATTTCTTATTGTTATCAATGTTAAAAAAGATTAACAATTATTAATGAAAACAGCTCAATATTTTTGTGGAAAACCTAAGACTTATGACATATGTCATACGTCATATGACATGACTATCCGATGTGCAAGATATTTTTATTAATTCCTATGAAATATGATTATAATAATTATGAAAGAGCACTTTCTCTTTTGTCAGCAAATTAAAAAGCAGCAGATAAGAGCTGGTCAGATTGCTTTGGCAAGATTTTAAGCTTTTATATCAAACCCGTGACTAAATAATTAGCTATTTAACTAGTCACTCCAGTTGAAAAGGTTAAAACACAAAAATAAATTGAATGGTTATTGTATCAGCCTCAACAAGCTGCTGATTATCAGTTAGCAGTTAATGAATGGTCTCACACACTTACTGTGATGTAGAAGGTTGTGACCACGTTGAGCGAAGAGGTGAATATTGTGCTCATTCTCTTCACCGAGGGCTCATCCAGGCTGTCGTAAGTGGGCAATACTTGCCTGTGGAAGAAAAAGCTTTTTATATACATCAAGCTCAAGATGCATACATTAAAGTAGGTCAATAAAAGTTACAATTATGACATACTGTCGATTACTACTGCTGAAAACATAATGTTTTAAAAAGCTCATATTTTGATAAAACGTTTATATTATCTCTTTCAAAAATGTCTGTTATTTGAGGTGTAAAGGTGTCTTAATCATTCATTAACAGGGGTTACGGTTCTAGGAGGAAGAAAATTTAGTTGTACTGTACATAACTGATGTAATTCTTGTGGGTGAATATTTGATTTTGTCAATTGTCCATTTCTTGTGTCCTTGTGCATATCAGGTCTCCCCTTTTACAATGGACTGATCCAATGTGTTTAAAGTAAACTTGATTTTTGTTTTTATAAACTAAGAGACAACATATTATAATCGACAGCATGTCACAGATAAAGTCTACAGACTTGCATTAAACCCAAAGCATTCAGATTTATAGTAACGTTATGACAAAATATAACAAATATAACATCACGTGAAATCACATAAATGCTTATTTATTGGTTAACTCAAACTGACCAGTCACAGTATAATCATTATTTAGCATAAGGACATACTGAACTGTGCGTTTGAACTCTAGAGACATAAACATGCAAGAGAGCAAGAGAAGCAGGAATTTAATATAGAAAGGCCATCACTCATTTCAGACATACAAAAGACAAATGGAGGGAGGGTGGGACGGAGGGAGAGTCGAATTGGATGAAACGAGCACTGATAAAGGGTTCAGTATCACTGAGAAACAAAAAACAGCTACAAAAAGAGCAGAAAAAAATCGATGTCTGTCATCAGGACAACCAATAAAACCAGACGCCAGCAAAACATTAAATGGGGAATTTACAATGGCTATATATTAGCGACAAGTGCTAGTCAGACTTTAGCATGTTATAAAATTTCTGGCAGTATGGGCTTTTGTTCGGGCTCTCCTGCTCTCAGCCCACTCACAGCTCTCGTAGACACAGTCGGAGCCCATTCCTGCTTTTATTAGGATATATACAGTACCACGTTCTGGGTTTTTTAAGCCAACGCCTGATCTCAGACCAAAGGCCAGTCTGTCTCATAGATGGAACTCACTCGCAATAAAAACCAGAGCAGTGGGAAAGAGAGAGAGACGTCTATGTAGACTTCTACATTTTATGTGTATTTATTTTTTCATTTTTCACTTATTCATTAAAACACAGCAACACAACAGTTTTGATACTGCTGAAGCATTCATTTTCCATTCAAACTCAGTTTGATGTTTGAAAATCTCCCACTGACTACCATTACAAAGTTTGGGGTTAGTAAAATTTTTTAAGAGACAAATTAATACTTTTATTCAGCAAGGAAGCATTAAATGGACCAAAAGTGACAGACATTTATAATGTTACAAAACATTTATGCTATTTTTTATTTTCTATTCATCAGAGAATAAAAACTATATCATGGTTTCCACAAAAACATTAACCAGTACAACTGTTTTAAACATTGATAGTTATATGAAATGTTTCTAGAGCAGGGGTATCCAAACTCGGTCCTGGAGGGCCGGTGTCCTGCAGAGTTTAGCTCAAACTTGCCTCAACACACCTGAATGGAAGTTTCTAGTATGCCTATAAGAGCTTGATTATCTGGTTCAGGTGTGTTTGATTAGGGTTGGAGCTAAACTCTGCAGGACACTGGCCCTCCAGGACCGAGTTTGGACAGCCCTGTTCTAGAGCATCAAATCAGCAGATTCAAATGATTTCTGAAGGATCATGTGACACCAAAGACTGGAATAATGGCTTCTGAAAATTCAGCTTTTCCATAATAAATTACACTTAAAATATACTAAATTAGAAAAATGTTATTTTAAGTTGTAGTAGTATTTTACAGTATTCATGTTTTTTACTGTATTTTGATCAAATATTTTTTATTCAAAAACATTTAAAGAATCTTACTGATGCCAAACTTTTGAATGGTAACACGTTGATAGAATGTTTGCCATTCAAAATGTAATGGAAGTTGGCATTCTAACATTTATTTGTATACTGTATTGCACAAATCTCTACAATTGTCTCAGGATTCGGATAAAAAAATGCTAATTTTGTTTCTCCAAGAAAACACTTATTTGCTGACAACATTTGCCACCCAACTGTTGATTCTCATACACAACTAGCAGAAAAAAAGTCACTGTTGAGGCGCCATTTACCCAGAACCAAAGTCTAAAATCTGATTTTACTTGCCTTGCAAGCCCTGGTATTTCCCTCACAAATTTAATTTTATAATTTCCTTCTTTTTAAGTTTTAGTCTTTATAGTCCTTCAGCTTCCAAAAGCTTTATGACAATACCTTTCATGTTGTCAGCCATGACATGGATGAAAAATAGAATTCAGAATTCTACAACTAGTATGTCTGAAATCAGACAGACAGACAACTAGAATTACATAGATATATAGAATTCAGTGTCATAAAATGGAGAGAAAGGACCCCAGAAAAGCCATTCCTGATGGATGAAGAGAAAAGACCCCAAAAAGCTATTCCTGATGAAATTACAGTGTGTGTGGAGGGGGAAGATCAGGGATGCTACAGTCCCACTGCACTTTCTCTACACCTCTACCAGGTGTTGACATAATAATTATTTTATAATACTGCTAAAATGATCCCTTCATAACACCTAAAGCTGTGAACCAGTGACTTGATGCTGTGTAAGCTGACATGACAATTTTACGATAGGAATAACACCATTATGGTGTTTACACATTATAGTGGAATTTACACATTAAGCGGGAGCCGTATAAGGGCGCCAGTGGACCCAGAATGCTGCTGTTCAATGAACAGTATCTGTTCTTAGTCAAAAGAGCAACCAGGTCAACTTTTCTCTAAAGATTCAATTTGGCATCAAATAGAGCTCATACTAAATGTACTAAAGTAATAAATGTAAATGGATGGGTAAATGTAGGTGTTGACAGGAACTGTTTGTGGTCGGATCGGAGGTCATGTCGCGCCGTCTCGCTCTTCTAATGATCGGGTGTAAGTGGCATTGTATGTCAATGCCGGCCAAGAAGGCACAGCCAAACATCACTCATCATCCTTCAGAGAAAGAGAGAGTGAGTGAGTGTGTGTGTGTGTGTGTGTGTGTGTGTGTAAAGGGGAAGGCACAGAAAGCTTCAAGAGCCGCATTACCTCATCCACACCAGAATCCAACACTGACACCTCCTCCACCCCAACACCCTCACTCTCCAACACACACACACATTTGTGCTGGCATCTGCACACTCAGACACCTCAATTCTATTCACTTCCAAACACATTAATATCCAGACAGACACAAACACAAGCACCATGTTAAGGATAATAGAAGGAACCTTCTATGTATATTTAACTGAGAGAATTGTGTGGATAAAAGCTATTGTTTTTGTCACAAATTGATGTTTTTGTCTGAGAATATTTTACAAACATTTATAACAATTAGAAATGTTTCTTAATCAAATCAGCATATTAAAATGGCTAAAGGACCAAGTGACACTGGAAGATTGGAGTTGTGGCTGCTGAAAATGTAGCTTTGTTGTCACAGGAATAAAATGAGAAATAAAAATGTGAACGAAAATGAAAATATATTAAAAAAGAAAATTGTTTTCTTTTTTTGAGATTATATTACTGTTTTACTGTATTTTTGATCAAATAATTGTAGCTTTGACTTAAAGACTTATGTCAAAAGTATTTAAAAATACTACCGACCCCAAAATATATATATATATATTTGAAGGAATATGTGAATATGTTTATATGATTATATGAATACACTTAATTTCCCTGGATGTACTTAGTTTAATTGTTTACAAAAAACTTAAATTTGACAAATAATATTAGACAGGTCAACTAAGTAAAACTACGATAACCATATATGCATTGTAAAGATTTGATGTATTATGATGTGGATATAGTAAAACTACAGTGGAAATGATTTGCACAATAAGAAATTAAACTTAAAAAAGAGAAAAGAAGAGCTGAAGGAACTGGGAGTGGAAGATCAATGGACATTTGTGAATGGTGTTAATGTTGTGAAAGATAAGAAACAGAAAGAGTGTCAATGACTCTCCCTGGCCAAATTTGAGATTACATAAACTGGTAAACACTGAGAATACCAATCTCCCTGCATGGTTAGTATATTTGAGCTAGTGAAAAGGAAAGAAAAGAAACATGAAATTAGGTCAAGACAGAGAAAAAGAATGAGATCTTTATCAAAGTCAATAAACACTGGTCACAAGTCTGGGAAGCAGTATCAAAGACCTGGAACAATGCTAACTATGAGTTCAACATTAGCTTATGGTACTCCCACAACATATCAGAGTTCAAACATAATACAAATAAAGACTGTGTCAGTGCACATTGGTTGAATTCATCAGGGGAAGATCCGGTCACGATGAGTTCTTTATGAATGAACTATAATAAGGTGCAAAAACTCATCATTCCATGTTTATGAATCATTAATGCTTGTATCAGAATGCACTAATATTTCAACTGTATGCAGATCTGACAAGCTGCCAACTGATGAAATAAATCAAGACGACCTTGTGGGTCAGCCTATTATTGCTAAGAAAACCCAAGCTATTCAAACACGTTAAAAAGGCAAAGAGGCCTTTCATGGTTGGGAATAGTTCACTCATAAAAGAAACTAATTTTTCACTCACCTGTCATTCCAAACCTGTATGACTTTCTTCAAACACGCTTTGACATGGCAAGTTTTCAATATGCACATGTGCAAAAGAGATTTTAAAGCTATGGCAGAAGTAAGACAAACAGTGAATAAAAACTTAAATGTTGGTCTTTACCTTCATAAAAGAAAGAATATCATACAGGTTTGGAATGACATGACTGATTAAATGATCACAGATTTTTCATTTTTGGGTCAATTAACGCCTTTAAGGAACAGAGTTAGTGTTAAGAATAGGATAAAAACTATACACAGAAGACAAAAAGTTAGACATTCCACGCAGGTTAGTGCCACACTCAACTGGATAAAGAATACAGTTACGGCATAAGCTGAGCACCATCAGAATGTATCAGTCTACTAACAAGGTTTTCCATTTTCTCAGGGCAAACACACTTGTATTAGGTGCATTAGCTCTTGAATTCAAGGAATGCCATGATGTCCTTTTGTACCATGAAAATGGAGCCCTACATTAAACCTAACTGGCCTTATTCAGGCGTCAGAAAGGAGGAGGGAGGCGGTGCAAGGATTGCGGAGTACTTACGACTGACAGGCAAATGCCATGCCACAGATAGGGATGCAGCGAAAGACGCCGTCCCACCGAACGTAAATGACCTTGTTCAGCCACTGGCCAGTGAGGAGGCCGTGTTTGAAGGAGGAGAGCACCATCTGTGGTGGAGGGGAGAGCAGGAGGGTTACAGATCATCCCATGAAGACAGGGCAGAGGGAGAAAAAAAGACCACGAGAAGGGCAGTGATGATGCTGTGATAAGACCCTTAGACTGACAATGAATAGTACATGGAGAACCTGTAATCTTTTTAAAGAGATAGTTCACCCTAAAATTTAAATTCTGTCATCTTTTACTCACCTTCATGTCGTTCCAAACCTGTATGTCTTTATTTTGGCATGGAACACAAAATTAAACATTATGGACAATGTGCTGGACACTCTTTTCAAATGCTCAGAAAACAAGACACTGATATCAAAGTATCATAAAAGTGATCCATATAATTAGTTTCCAAACCTTCTGAAACTACACTATCATTCAAAATTTTGGAGTTGGCAAGATATTCTCATAAGTTGTCTCTTATGCTCACCAAGGCTGCATTTATTTGATCAAAAACACAGTAAAAATATTTTAGGGAAATGTTAGAATAATTTAAAATAACTGTTTTCTATATGAATATATTTTAAAATGTAATTTATTCCTGTGATGAAAAAGCTGAATTTTCAGCAGCCATTACTCCAGTCTTCAGTGTCACATGGTCCTTCAGAAATCATTCCAACATGTTGATTTGGTTCTCAAATAACCTTTCTTATTATCAATATTAAAAAGTTACTTAATATTCTTGTGGAAACTGTGATATATTTTTTCATGATTATTTGATGAATAGAAAGTTTATAAAAAGCATTTTAAATAGATTTACTCTATTTGACTTTACGGTCACATTTGGTCAATTTAATGCATGCTTGCTGAATAAAAGTAGTAATAAAAAAAACTGGCCCCAAACTTTTGATTGGTTCTATATATGATAACTTAGTGTAAAAAAAAATACTGAGAGTTAATAACTGCCTAATTTGAAAACCATAAGGGTTTAGAACAATATTATAGTGAGCAAATTATTTTCATTTTTGGGTGAACTACTCCTTTAAGGGGATAAACAAAAATCAAAAACAAAATCATTTGTCAACTAATGGATGAAAAACAAATCTTACTGATCAGCTTCCACGCATTATTTTCAATGCCAGTTCATCTCTACAGGACATCAAAACTTTGCAGCTGCATGTGAAAAGGGTAAAATCTGACTGCTGCACACGTTTGCAGAAAACATTTGCGGCAGCTTGCCACTTTCCCTTCAAAATCAAGAGCGCCAGCCCGTGAAACCATCAGAATCACCACCAATCCCAACCCTATCAGATCTGTTTACCCAGTCGTAGGGTTTAATTCCAGCTGGAGTATATCAGAGGATGCTGGGTATTACCAAAGTTGAAACAACGCTGACGACACACAACATATATAAATTCTGCCACCAAGACACAAACTCACACACTCACTCACACAAAAATACCCTGAACCGGATGGCACCAACAACAGAGCTTTGGATTGAATGAAGGTGGACAGAGGAGGAAGGGAATTTTGGGTAATGTAGTTGAATCCATGGCAGTGGTATGGTCCGTTCTCTGGGGCGGATTACTTACGGGTGGCAGCAGAAGGTGGTGGCGATAATTGGCAGACACTGTATGACACCCTTGAAGCGCCACAGATGTACTTGCTCCACCCAGGAGCCACTGATTATTCCGTAACGCAGAGAGGACAACACTATCTATAGGCCGCCAAGTCAGAGCGTCAGATGGTTGGTCGGAAGTCAGCATCAGGAATGGGGGCGGGGCAGCGGTTTAGATGGGGGCAGAGGGAAAACATAATTAGATGGTAAAATGCTAGACTAAGAAATGGGTTGGGAAAAAAACACCCCATTGAGATGGATAAAAGGAATACAAACTGTATAGGTTGTGCACTCAGTGCAACACACTAAAAAAACTTAAAGAACCTTAAAGTCTTCAATATCAATGACTAGTAGAAATACTTCTATTGTATTAATGATTGACTGATTGATTGATTGATTGATTGCAATTTTATTACAAATTGCGTTATCAGCATAGTAGTTTCAGTGAAAACTTCACAAGTTTGTGTAAAATCAGAGTTCTCCAGATTTTAGAATGTTCCAGAGAGTCTTGCGCTGCAATGGAACACTTGACTGTATGGAGTTTACATGATCAGTATAATAAATTCACAAATTTAATAAGAGACCTAGAAATAGTGCAGAACCTAAAATATATATTAATCATTCTTTGTTTTACATTTTTTACTGTATGAAGGAGTTTACATTGATCAGTATCATAAATTCACTAATTTAATAAGAAACCTAGAAATACTGCAGAACCTAAAATATGTCTTAATCATTTTTTGTTTTACATTTTTCAAAATCCTAAAACTTATTCCAGAAAAAAAAAATCAAAATTTTCAATATAAGCTCAGCATTCTGCGTTCAACACTAACTCAGTATAAAGTTTCGGAATGTTTTGTAATGGTTCTCTTCAGTTCTTCAAGAACTTGCATTTCACTTTTACACTTTTCCAGATTTAGAACAAGAAACAGTGAAAGTCTGCTGGCATGGTGAAGCATATTCACATTGTATTCACAAAAAGAACAGCCAATCACCACATTACACTCTTCAAAAGGAACAAAAAATTTGAACATTTCATTTAAAAAAAAAAAAAGCTATAAATGAATTCCACACATACTTAATACACAGCATCATTGAAGTGACTTGAAGTGAAGTGAAAAACATGACCTTAAAGCAACCATAATGAACAGCTGTAATCTGAAGTGTTTGAAATTCATGTTGAAGTGCATTCTTACACTTTACAAAATATTTTAATAAGATTTAATATACTCAAAATGCTAGAAGATCAAATTACTTCCTCATACCAATGGCAAATATAGTGAATATATGCATATATATAAAAACTGCCTACACCTGAATGAGAGTGTGCTGATGGGATCTGATATTACGTTTTTCAGGGTTAAAGTTTGGAACTGTGAAAAGGGGAACGACTCACCGTGAACATGAAGAGTGTGTAGAAGATAAGTGCCATGGCTGAAAATGACTGGATTGATGACATCATGTTTCTTTGCAAGCTGAGTGGTAACACAATGAACATCGACACAGCAATCAGTAACATGATACGGATGCTACGCGTCACCTGAAGGAGAAAAAGGAAAACCAGTTGTTGGCTAATATATCTATTTATCTATATATATATATATATATATATATATATATATATATATATATATATATATATATATATATATATATATATATATATATATATATATATATATATATATATATATATATACACACATAGTTATGCAAATAGTAAAACAGAAAACATTAGTCATATTTTAGTGTACAGGAAAAATTGGCAAACTGTTTATTTATTCATCACTTGGACAGTCTCTTTATTTTTATTTATTTTACCATCAGCATTTCATCAAAGGTGCCTAATGTTTTTCTGTTTTTCTCCAGAAAACATGTTAAATATTCAGTAACGACTAAGCAACCAAAACAAGAATACAAGAAACAAAATCCCTATTATGACAAGTCATGTTTTTGTGATTGGTCTCGTTTAACAAAAGGATCTCTCATCTTGCATTAGATGCTGCAAGTGACACAATGAGCTATGTTGTTTGACAGAATTATACAGCTAAAAATTAAAAAAAAAAAGCTAAATAATCCACATTTTATGTCAATTATTATAAAAAAAAAAAAAGAAGTAAAATACAGATTTGTGGCCAGCAAGAAATATTTATAACCAGTCAAATTTCTCAATTCGCCTGTCACTGGCAGGTGTGATAAAAAGTTCATTTTCACACAGAAACTGTGATCTCATCTACACTAAAGTTATATAAAGTGTATGAAGTAATTTTGTTATGGTTACATGACACACAGCTCAGCACTGTTTTTTTTTTTTTTTAAGATAATGGCCTTTGATTTTATCATTTCAGAAGGTTTATGAACAAGGGCAACGATCAGTTCTGAGAACTGCTTATAATTAATTGATTTGGAAGAAATGTGTTAGAGTAACAAAAGGATTTAACAATTTTATTCACATGAAAACCTAAAAGCTTATATTTTACCTCCAGCCCAAGCAGCTGAGCAAAGAAGTTGGACCCCAGATCTGCGATGACGACATAGAAAGCAATGCATGTCCCCAACATGAGGCCAATCATGCTGAAAACAGAGAGAGAATATAAGTAAATAATACAAGCAATAAGAGAAGCTGAATCTCCACAAAGTCATCTTACCTTAATTCCACAAGAGCCTTGCCTGGTTTTCCATAAGCATGAAAAGCTGGGAAGGGAGAAAGGAAGGAAAAAGGCTTCTTGCAAAATTGTCTTGTAAAATCACAGTTTTTTTTTTTTTTTTACCACTTCCACAAAAAGGTTTGATTAGAATTTTTTAACATAACACTAATATCACAAATACTACTGTGGCAGGAGCTCTTTCAGTCTACATTAGTATGTGTTGTAGGTTCTTGGCTTTTCTGTTTTATTTTGCTTACTCATAATGAGAAAAATACAGATGTTGCAATCTGGTCACCTAATTTAACAATATAATGAATTATTTCACTGTAATCCACATTGAGGATGCTTTAAACATTATCATGATGGAAACTGATGAAACCTCTTAGTGTGTCTGCTGCTTTCAGTCACTCTCACCTAGTCCAGCGTAAGTCCTGCGTTTGGTGTTACTAGCCGAGTGGACTAGAAACATGCAGGACTGGTGGGTCATCCACGAACAGAAGAACAACAACAGTGTGCCCAACACAATTCCACACTGCAGAGAGAATGAAAAAGAAAAATGGCTCAAAAAATTAAAGGACAAATACAGATGTCTTATATATTTATATTCCAGCCCCAGTAAATGTTACATGCTTTTACTGATTCTTGTAAAAAATAGAGTGGAACAACTAAAATGGCAGCTTATCAATTTCTGATTCACTTCATTCCCTCAGTTAACAGATTATTAACCAGAAAAGTCATGTGTAAACAACTCCAAGTCCATATGGCAGATTTCAACATATGGAATCCTCCTATAAGCATACAAAACAACACAGCACACGTTCCCATAAGCTCTAACCATGCGTTTACCTGTTTGAAGCAGAAGGGCATCGTCAAGACACTCACACCCACGATGCTGTTTACAACGTTCATGATCAGACCCCAGTTTGACACAGTCATTTTGGCTCTCTGACAGCTGAGATCTCTAATATCCAGATGGGTGTGTGTGGTGCTTCCACACTGGCCTAAGGTTTGATTGAGATAAGTAGGTTGATGCAGCTGTCCTTCAACTGGTCGTTATGATGCTCTGTGGAGATGCAGAAGAAAATAAAAAGTTAAGCATCACATTCAACGCTACTGAACTTGAGGGACTTTTTTAAATGTACTCATTTGCTAGTGTTATGCTTTATATATAAAGAGGAATATACAGCTTAATACAAAACAGCAATATATAAACCATTAATAAACAATTAAATAGCTTATTTATTCATTTTGTATGCTCTATGAGATAAAAAAAAAATATGCAAACAGCTTCTGGAAACAGTAACCAAAGAAAACCAAAGCAAATAAAAATCTATATAATCAATACAAATTTATACTAGTAAACTCTATACCAAACAGACTCTGAAATATACAAAAGATGCTAGATTTTTAGTGATATAGAAGATTTCCTTTCATGCTATAGGAAAGCAGGTCATTACAGAATTACATCTGGAACAAATTTAACATATTTATCTATTGTTGGTCTACAGACATGTTCGCCTAACCTGATTCCCTTAAAACATTAAAAACGACATATCTGTAATTGCTGCACTGATTACAAACATTCAGTGTAGCTGTCAAATGTGTTTTAGGTTTTCCTGCCATATGGCAACAGTTGTGTTGTCAGGTGCACTTTTGAGTACTTTTACACAACTCATAGAACAAACTGATTGGTCATTTGTGGGAAGATTTTTTGAGGGACTCAAAAATCAGAAACGGCAGCTTGTGTTTACATGTAGCAGACACAGAAAATATGCTGTGTTTGCTTTTAGTTTTGAAACACTGTTGAAAACAAAAATTTAATTTATCAGAGTAATATCAGTGTGCATGTGACAGCATATATGACTTTTATACACACCAGAAGAAGTCATTATTGTATACTACTATACTATTAAATAAGCTAAATTAACATGCTATTCAATAAAACAATTATCATTTCTCATAAGTAAACATTGTTTTATGTTTATAAAGTTACACGTTTATAAAGTTTCCCATATCAAGAATGAGTAGGTTATAAATAAGTTTGTTTACGTACCACGTCCACACTTTTTCCCAACAGCCATTCATTTATAAGTGATCATCGGTTCATGGCTGTTTTAAAACGATTATAAATACACTTACTGTTATATTTGTGCCCTCTGTATAAAGTTACAGGAGATTCTACAAATATTTAGAGAGAAAATATGCAAAAATGTCCTTGTTTCCCCCAATCTGTAACCAGGAAGTATGCGCAGCGCTGCCAGTGTGGCGTTACCAAAGACACTAGTGCGCCCTGCTGCCTCCAGTGGCCAGGAGTGGAATTACACGCTGCTTACAGCCTGTCACGGTTAGTCAAGTTCACTTTTGTTTGACAAATATAGCTGAAATTGGAAGTTGATGGTTTGTTCGTTTTGTTTTCAAAGTAACTAACACCTGCAATATCTTTTGAGTCCCGCAATGCTTTACTTTGACACACGGTGTAGAATTTATGCATGCAGAGATCATATCAATGGCTCAGTCTGTCAACAGCACCTACACAGACGAATCACTAGCTGTGACTCATTTAGAAGGCTGCACCCTCCGCAGGTCGCATTCGAAGGCTGCATACGTCATCGAGACTGTCTCATTTCAGAAAAGCAAGTAGGACACTCCGAATGCGACCTTCTTTCACAGGAATTCGGAGGATGCATGAGGTGTATCCTTCGCTGCTACAGATAACCCACAATTCTTTGCGTCGCCGTAAACAACCGTTGTTAATTTGAAAAATGCCCACGGAATATGGGCAACAGAGGCTTCTGTTCTGGTGTACTGGTGTGTTTGGAGGAGAGAGGTTGGGACCAGCGTTCCCCAATAAGCAGAGGCGGACAAAGTACTCAACTCCATTACTTGAGTGAAAGTACAGATACTGCTGGTCAAACATTACTCCATTACAAGTAAAAGTTGTAAAGACATATTTTTACTTAAGTAAAAGTACAGAAGTACTTGCTTTTAAAAGTACTTAAGTACCAAAAGTAAATTTCCTTTTTTATGTCAATGCACATATTTTTTATTGTTGTACGTAATACTTGCAATACCTCTGAAGCAACTTACAATACATTACACCTACTGAATACACTGACTAGCTTGTAGTATCTTTGGAATAAAGAGACACTCATGCTGTGTCTCATTTAGAAGGCTGCGCCCTCCGGAGGTCGCATTCGAAGGCTGCATACGTCATCGAGGGGGTCTCATTTCAGAAAAGCAAGTAGGACACTCTGAATGCGACCTTCGAATGCGACCTTCTTTCACAGGAATTCGGAGGATGCATGAGGTGTATCCTTCGCTGCTACAGATAACCCACAATTCTTTGCGTCGCCGTAAACAACCGTTGTTAATTTGAAAAATGCCGGCGCCGGCAGATGTACACACTATGATGTACAATGTGGTATTTACAACTTACCTTAAATCGCCCCAGTAAAAACGGATAAACTTTGTTTTTAATATCCTCCTTTTTTTCCTCTAACAGATGTCTGCTGTACGTACGCTGCAGCTCCTCAAACATTGAACAAAATAAAACAAGTAAAAGCATTTTTTTTTTCAAATTACTTTCCAAATTTAGAAATAATTGTCCTTCATTTCAGAAGTGTGAGAGCACAACGATGCTCTAAATGTGTTGGCATAGCAACGTGATACTTCCTGTTTCCTTTTCCGCCCGTCCTACGAAGGCCGTATCGTTTAATTCTAGGTTGAGGACACTTCGTATATGCATCCTACAGAGGATGCGACCTCCAGAGGGCGCAGCCTTCTAAATGAGACACAGCTACTGTGTTGTTTCATTTGGAGATTTGAGCAGGAAAGGGAAACAGGAACAAGGGATGTTGATCTGCAAGAGGAGCCCCACGGAATCCAATAGTATCCAGCTGCAGAACCGCAGCCACAGAACCGCATTCACAGAACCGGAAGTGAGGGGCGGAGCTTACATTTTTTAACAGAGTAGCGCCACCTTACGGTTTTTAAGGGGTAATTTGCTTTTATTACACACGATACCTCATACTTTATGTATGTATGCATTTTATAATGACATATTAAGCATTTTATAAACATTATATACATCTTGTGTAATTTAGTTGTAGACCTATACAGTTATTCGTTTCATCGTATTATGCGAGTAATTTCCTGTTTGTGATATTAAAAATAATGTTTGAAACTTCTGGGCATTTTATATGAAATATACTTTAATCACAAGATTCAAAATAAATGTTTACTCCAAAGTCAAGAACACGTGCATCATAAATTTTTCTATATGAAAACTAAAACATTTCAATAAAACACACAGACACACAAACAGCAGCATAATTTTAAAAGTAACAATCAAAATGTACACAATAATTAAATTGAAGTTTATAAAAAACGACTTTCTACTTCAAGGACCTTGATAGAAATGTAGTGGAGTGAAAAGTACAATATTTGTCTTTCAAATGTAGTGAAGTTAAAGTCATAAATTCCCAGAAAAAATAATACTCAAGTAAAGTACAGATACTCAAAAAGTGTACTTAAGTACAATACTCAAGTAAATGTACTTAGTTACTGTCCGCCTCTGCCAATAAGGCATGCGCTCTCCTGGGAGGGTATTTTAGTGTGTTGTTTTAGGGGGGCTGGTTTTAGAAAGGAGACAGGAAAAGTCTGGCTATTGTGTACCACTGTCCTTCGAACCTAACTGACAAGTCAGCCCATTGGCCAGAGGGTCTTGTCACTCCACACCTAATCCCTGAAGATTGGAATTAGGCCCGAGCAGCAGAAGGGGAGACAGTGGGCAGATTGCTAGGCAGATTTGGTGGTGGGGGGGAGAGATTCTGTAGCCAGGAAGAAATTAGACACAGGCACCCGGTTGAACCGCTAACCTCCAGGGGAAACCCCTGGTCAGCGCGAGGTCACGGGAGCACAAAGCTGGGCGATGAACTGCGAGAGGTCAAGCATGTATGCGGCTGAAAGAGAGTCTTTGTGAGCTCAGGCATGCACAAAATTTCCCATCAGCCACGAAAGTCACAGGCTCCTCAGGAAGCCAAGGAAGGTGGATGAAACCTGGTGACGGAGAGTTGCAGCACTTGTGTGTGTGCGAGTGACCTCAGAAAGGACACACACAGACTGCAGCAGTAATCACATTTAATTACACATCAACCAGCCTTGTGAATGAGGTTTTTAATGCAGACTCTCCCTACACACAAAAAGACTGGCATGTGCAGCTAAACATTGCCTACCTTTGTCCTCCTAAAATCTATTAAAGCCCTCTCTATTAACCATCAGCATCGCTAAAGGCTGCAGATAATGGCCATTATGTTGATAATTGTGAATAAAAGGAACAAAAGATGTTTTTTGTGTGCAATGCCTCAATCTACCGTTCATCCAAAGGTCGGACCTATTTATAATGGGAGCCTGGTTGAAACGATAAGGGCTGAATTCAATAAAAGAAACGAATACCTGATCCTGTGCCAATAATCTGTCAACGCTCAGTCGCTAATCGATTACTTAAGTATTCTAAACAGTCCTGTCGGCATTTGTTTGTTCCAGTGTTACCTGTTTTAATGTGATTTACTAAATCAAATAATTTGCTTATTGGATAATCATTAGTTTCAAATCTATTTCAAATCCATGGTGGTGTGTTTTAAATACAGGCTCAGTGATAAAGATAGATCTGTTTAGAAGAAAAACCTTTGAACTGTGTTCTGCATATGCAAGTTTTATGTGTACCTGAGAATTGAATTAAGAATATTTTTCAAATGAATTTGCTTATAGGATAGATAGATAGATAGATAGATAGATAGGAAACCAATTTTTCAGTTTTAAGTTTTGCATAACCCTGGTGACAAAATAAATAAATAAATTATAATTGACAAAAAACACTAACACCGAATAAGGGTGCTTCTACTAAATACTGAGCAAGGGGTCTGAATACTTAGGACCATGTGATATTTCTGTTTTTCTTTTTTAATAAATCTGCAAAGATGTCAACAATTCTGTGTTTTTCTGTCAATATGGGGTGCTGTGTATACATTAATGAGGAAAAAAAATTAACTTAAATGATTTTAG